CCTCCTCCTCCTCCCTGCTCCTCCTCCCTGCTCCTCGCACCCACCCATCCTGCACGCTCTATCCACTCGGCCTGCCTCCTCATACTCCTCATTGTGCCCCTCTCGTGCTCGTATTCATCCTCCCGCTCTCCACCACCACCTCCTCCCCCTCCTCCTGGACGGCTCGGCGTGCTTCGAGGCGATCGCACCTTAAGCTCTCGGTCCCCTCCCTGGGAATCGGACAGGGCCTCCCAGCGTCGAACGCAAAGAACACCGCCAGGCCAGATTTTGTCGAGCCTCCAGAGATCAGGGCCCATCCCCCTCCTCCTCATCCCCCTTCGCCTCTTCCTGCTGCTGCTGCCACTCGTCTTGACCCCCCCCTTCTCATGTTACTTCCGTTGCTGCTCCTTTTCCCCTCGCCTGCTGTTCCTCCTATCCCTCCTGCACCTCCTGCTCCCCCCCTTCCTCTTCCACCTTCTCACCACCCTCACCGTCCTCCACATCATCATCCTCCCTCTTCGTACTCTCATTATGCTGCCGCTTCTCCTTTCACGACCTATTATGCTCCATCATTCTCCGCCTTCTCTTTCTTTTCTCCCCTGTTTCTCGCTCGTGTCCACCTGCTCATCCTCCCCCTCCATCTTCTCAATATCATCCATCACCAATATTATCGTCACGGTCGTAACCAGCATCAACCACCGTGGTCATCACATCAACCAGAACCTCCAACAACGATGCTTGCACTCAAGGGTTTGTTCTTCTGTTGCGGACAGTGGGCTCGTATTTCCGCTGTGTTCTCGCCCTGTGGGACCCACATGCGCCTTGCGGGCACTCCTTGCGCTGACTGGCATTTCCGGGTTCGCGCCCAATGGACGCCTCGCTGGCGCCGCGTGCGCTGTTTGGCGTTTCCGGGTGCACACATCGATTCCACGGCATAGCTCCCTCCCCAGAAGAAACGAAGCTGTTGAACATCTGACAGACTGTTGGATGTTCCGCGAGCGCGCACTTCCTCATCATCCCCATCAGCACAAACGTTCGCGTCATCGCCAGCGTTGTTATTGCCATCATCGTCGTCAGCATAATGACCATCGTTGTCGTCATCATCACCACCGCCATGACCATCACCATCACCATCACCACCACCACCACCATCACCATCACCATCACCATCACCATCACCATCACCATCACCATCACCATCACCATCACCATACCAGCACCATCACCATCACCATCACCATCATCATCGTCATCATCGTCATCATCGACATCGTCGTCGTCATCATCATCATCATCATCATCATCATCATCATCATCATCATAATCATCATCTTCTGCATCATCATCATCATCATCGTCATCAACATCGTCGCCATCGTCGATGTTTTCACCTAGGTCAAAGCTCTGCTCACGCACCTCCTCATCATCCTCACCAACACCATTCTTATCATCATCGCCAGCGTCATCGTTGCTACCGTCATCATCAGCACCATGAACATCATCGCCATCACCATCACCATCCATCGTCGTCAGCAGCGTCCCCACCGTCCTCATGAATATCGTCACCGTTCTAGTTATCGTCGCTGCCGCCGCCCGGTTGAGCTGTGCCAGCAATTTGCGGATTCGTGGGTGGGATGCCTGTGCGATCATTGGAGGTGGTCACGCGCGAATGCGGTCAAACGTAGCCGTACCACATAGATTGCACCACACACATTGTACTACATATGTCGCACAAGCTGGCATGTATTCTATATGCTGCACCACACAGCCTGCACCACAGAGTTGTCACTACATTGACCGTCTGCCTGAGAGTGCTCCGCATAGATTGCGTCTCGCATGTGGCACCACATGTGTTGCACCACACGTATTTCTCCAGATAGCTTGCGCCACATATACTGGATCCTATACATTGCACCACGAGCAGTGCACCACACCGATTGTACCGCACAATTGCACCACGTAGGCTGCAAGACCTGGGTTGCACCGGGCACATGCTGCATCAGGCAGGTTGCACATCGAGAGTGCTAGAGCCCACCGATCGGGGCCCACGCTTGCAAGCGTGGCAGCACAATCACCATTCCTGTTCCCCTCCTGGGCAATCTGGGCAATCTGGAGAAGTCTAGAGTCACACAGTGTGCAAAACTATTTTCCCCTCCTCCTTTTTCGTCTTCCTACAGATCTTGCCTCCTCCTCCTGCTCCTCGTCCTCCTCTGCCCCCGTTCTCCCTACGGCCAGGAACTTCTGCTCACCGCGCCGCGGCGGCTGCCCCGGCGTCACGCTCTGCGTGCAGGCGGATCGCGTCTCGCTCCGCTCCGCGGGAGGCTCGGGATAAGCTCGGCACGTTGGTGCTTGGAATCTGGGGCGTGCTTGGCTTGTCGCGCCGAAGCGTGGTGGGCCAGAACTGGCGCCGCGACGCGCTCAGCAAGCGTTCCTGAACGGACATCCTATCCCTCCTCCGCCGTCTGCTTCTTCTGTCACCGCTTCCTCCTGATCCTCCTCCGCGTCTCCCTCTTGCTCTTCCTTTTCCTCCTCTTCGCCACCTGGTCCTGTCCATGTCCATCCTATCCATACCCTATTCCCCCTGCTGTTCCTCTTCCTCTTCCTCCTTCTCCTCCTCGTGTCCCGTCCCCTCCCATCCGCTTCTCCCCCTCATCCTCATCGCTACTGGTCCCTCTCCTCCTGCTCCTCCTCCTCCTCCTTGCCTCCTCAGTTTCCTTTCTCTCATCCCTTCCTCTCCTCCTCCCCTCCTCCTCCTCCTCCTCCTCCTCCTCCTCCTCCTCCTCCTCTCCGCCTCTCCTCCTCCCCGCCGCTCCTCCTCCCTAATTCCCCTCCTCCTCCTCAGCATCATCATCCATTTCTCCTCCTCCTCCTCCTCCTCCTCCTCCTCCTCCTCTTCCTCACCCTTCTTCTCCTCTTCATCCTCCGTCTCCTCCACACTTGCTCAGTATGACTACTACTCTCCTCTCCCCCCCGAAGACCCCAATGAGGGAGCGCACATCCCCTCCGCGTATTGTTTGTTACCTGAGGGTAGGCGAGGCTTCAGCGCCGCACGTCCAACTCCATGCCCCACCCCTTTCCGAGGGCTCCCTGGGCTCTCCAAGCCTCACCATGGCTCCCAAGACGACTTCGCAGGCCCATCAGAGCCAAAAGGATGGGCCACGATTGCGGAAAGGGGCACGCAACAATTCCTAAGAGACCCGAGAAGGCGCAAAACGCCCCACCATCATCCTCCTCTCCCTCCACCCCCGGGCGGGGAGCGCCAGGGCGCCGCCTCTGGACGTGTTGATGATCATAACCCCGGGCTTCATCTTGGCGATGGAGGACTCGTTGATCATGTGGTAGGTGCTGTCGAACAGAGGCGCGTGCAGCCTCGGCTCGTCGTCGTCCTCCTCGAGCCGCGCTTGCTTGTACGCTTAGTGAGCGTTTTCTTACTCGGCGTCTCGACTCTGGGCGGAAGGACGGGGAGGGGGGGGGGTCTGGCTCTGGACTTCTGCTTAGTGCGACTGCTTGCAACAGTGCGTCCCTGGGGGGTGACTCCACTTGCTCGAAAAGCGGGCACTCCATGGGGGCGGGAGGGGGGGGCGAGGGCCCGCGCCGATCAGGAGAACAGTGGATACGAAAACGACGACTGAGTGCTCTCTGTGGAGATTTGGGATCGGCGTCGTAACTGTTGAGGGGCAATGATTTGGGGGGATAGGGATAGGGGGGGAAACATCGACCTGGAATCGGCGATACATCGGCGATAGGCCCCCGATAGCGAAGCCGCACCCTGATGGGCGGGGTGGGGCTATCGGACCCCCATCGGCGATCAATGGGCGATTGGGGGTCGATATATCCCCTCTATGACTATCCGCTCTATCGTTTCCCACGATACAGTAGAAGCCAGTCCACAATCAACCTTCCACATGAAACCCAACCCTGAGATCCCAGGACGTCCATTGATTTTTGGTGTGGGAACGTCACGTTTTTCATCGCAAATCTTCGAAACCCAAGAAACCCAGGGCACCCTGGAGGCAAGCAGGGTGTGTCTTGGCACGGGCCTCCACTGTAACTGTCGTTGAAAGGTGGCGCGCAGAAGGGGCTGGTGCCGGTGGACAAAAGCTCTAAGATCCAGGCGCTACATTCTTGTGCACACTGGCAATGGGAGTTTTCGCCCAGAGATAGACGAGCGCGATCCACTACTCGCAAAGTAACTGCTCGCAAATGGCCTGCATACGCCGCGGGGGATCTACACTGCATTCCATCAAAGCAGACACGTGTTCTTCGGACGTTTGCGAGTCGGCACTTTGCGAGTAGTGGAACGCGCTCGGTGACGGAAGACTCGGACTCCGAAGCCTTCGCGGACCGATCCGACTCGAGGCGCTGCTGTGAGTTCTGCAGATCGCAACAAAAGAATGCCAGGCGGGCCACCACGGAGAGGCCGGCGTCCTGCCTGGTGATGCCTTCTTCGCGACCGAGCGTGGCCTTCGATGGGGCGAGGAGGAGGAGGAGGAGGAGGAGGAGGAGGAGGATGAGGAGGAGGAGGGGGAGGAGGAGGAGGGGAGGAGGAGGAGGAGGTGAGGATGAGGAGGAGAGGAGGAGGAGTAGGAGTGAGGAGGGGGGGTGGGGAGGAGGGGGGGTGGGGGAGGAGGAGGAGGAGGAGGAGAGGAGGAGGATGGAGGAAGGAGGAGGAGGAGGCAGAGGAGAGGAGGAGGAGGAGGAGGAGGAGGAGGAGGAGGAGGAGGAGGAGGAGGAGTGAGGAGGAGGAGGAGGAGGAGGAGGAGGAGGAGGAGGAGTGGGAGGAGGAGTAGGAGGAGGAGGAGGAGGAGGAGGAGGAGGAGGAGGCCCGAGGCCCCTCCCCCTGCTTTCCAGGCCACGTCGGAGCCCATGGGGCCCCTCTTAGCCTCTCTTGACGAGATACAGCCGAGCGACGCTCAGAAGCGGGTCCTGCGAGACGGCATGGCGACCTCACGCGGCGGCTTGCTACACTGGGGACGAGGGCGCTCACGCGCGACCTTGCGTGGGGAGCTTGCGCGCCAACGTCGGTGCAAACGACCCCGTTTTTTTGCGTCGCTCAACTGGCCGCTTCGCCCACGATGCATCCTGGAGCAGGGACCGACCGACCCGGCATGCCTATAGGCCTACCACGACATGTTCTTAGAACCCAAAAATGTTCCAAGAACAACAGAAAGGTTCTTGGACCATAAGCCCGATGCGTCAAAACGAGACGGCCAGGGCCAGACATGTTCTCATACCATGTCCTTGGAGACCACAAGAGGTCATGAGAACACTCTTCTGCGGGCCTATAGGCGAGCCAGAACGCTGCGCCACTGCTTGATTTTGTTGCGTCGCTCAACTGGCCGCTTCGCCCACGATTCGGGGATCTGCAGACCCGGGTCAATGCAGTCCCGGGTCAATCGGGCCTTGCAAGATCCTGCACCCACACCCGGGTCAATGCGAAGGATCCTGCAGGATCCTGCAGGATCCTGCACCCAAGTCCGGGTCAATGCGACCCTGGCCGTGCAGGATCCTGCAAGGTCGGGGCGCTCTGGCTGACCCCCGTTTTCGGCGGTGGACAAACCTCCCTTCAGTAAACCTCCCCTTAACGAAAACGTTCTGGGGCCGAAACCGCCGGACCTGGACCCGCAAGAAAGGACGGCCGCGACGCCCTCTCGCGAACCCACGGCCAATTCCTTAACCGACGTGTCAGGGCAGGAGGTCTATCAACCTCTGGCGCTTGCACTGACCCCCGCCTCGAGGCTCCCGCACGATGCACCCAGTCGCCACTCCGGCGGTCCCGAGCGCCAGGCCAGGGCTGCGCCCCCTGGTAATCGGGTGCCGCTCGCCTGCCTGCCTGCCTGCCTGCGCGCCTGCCTCCCGCCTCCCCGCCTCGCCCTCCCGCCTCCGCTGCGGCCCGTCGGGGTGCTGCCTCGGGCGCCCCCTCCGCCCGCGAGGACGGAGCCCTGCGAGGGCGGCGTTGGCCAGTGACCCTCGCCGTGGTTGCAGCCAGCTCCGTGCCGCTGGGGGCGGCGCAGTAGGGCATCTTTCGTTGAACTCTGCCTCCTCCTCCTCCTCCTCCTCCTCCTCCTCCCGCCCTCGAAACCAGAGCACGAAAACGAGAGCTCCTCCTGAGCCCAGAGCGGTCCCTCCTTCGGCGTCCACCTCCTCCTCCTCCTCCTCCTCCTCCTCCTCCTCCTCCTCCTCCCCCTCTCCCTCCTCGAGCTCAGCAGTCCTCCTCCTCCTCCTCCTCCTGCGGGAGCGGGGGGCGCGCGTGATGACGTCGCTGGTCCGGAACAGCTCGTCCAGCTCGACGTACCGCACGCCGATGTCCTCCAGCCTCCCCCGTGGCTGGCGGCGGGCGCACAAGCACGGGCCTCCAGCATCCGCCCAGAAACGGGGGGCCCGCAGAGGGGCAACGACCAGCCGACATAGGAATAGGCAGATCGGATCGTGGCGGCGCGCACAAGAGAGGAGGAGGAGGAGGAGGAGGAGGAGGAGGAGGAGGAGGAGGAGGAGGAGGAGGAGGAGGAGGAGGAGGAGGAGGAGGAGGAGGAGGAGGAGGAGGAGGAGGAGGAGGAGGAGGAGGAGGAGGAGGAGGAGGAGGAGGAGGAGGAGGAGGAGGAGGAGAGAGGAGGGCGGAGGAGGAGGAGGAGGAGGAGGAGGAGGAGGAGGAGAGGAGGAGGAGAGGAGGAGGAGGAGGAGGAGGAGGAGGAAGGAGGAGGAGGAGGAGAAGGAGGAGGAGGAGGAGGAGGAGGAGGAGGAGGAGGGAGGAGGAGGAGGAGGGGGAGGAGGAGGAGGAGGGGAGGAGGAGGGGGAGGAGGAGGAGGAGGAGGAGGAGGAGGAGGAGGAGGAGAGGGGGGGGGAGGAGGAGGAGGAGGAGGGGGAGGGGAGGAGGGGAGGAGGGGGAAGAGGAGGAGGAGGAGGAGGGGGACGAGGAGAAGGAGGGGGAGGGGGAGGAGGGGGAGGGGGAGGAGGGCGAGGAGGAGGAGGGCCTGGGGTGAAGCCTTCTTGGAAGGGAGGCTGCGTCTCAGAAGGCGCGGGCCTCACATCTACAGGGAAGACCCGCACCCTCTAAGAAGCAGGGGTGCTTCTAAGAAGCCTTCCCCCCTCCCCCTACCCCCCTCCGCGCGTGGCCGAGGATCAAATCGGAGGGTGCGTCGGACCGGGCTGGTGATCCGCCCGACGCCAGAATCGAGCTGGATCGGCCGCGTCAAGAAGCGCGAGAGCGCCACGCGAACGTCGGGCCGCATCGGATCGTCGGAGCGCTGGAATCGAATCGGAGATCGGGCCGGGCGGAATCGCCCTCGGATCGAAATGTGCCCTGAAGAGGCCCTCCTTCGCTGCTGTCCGCCCTGCAGGCTCGCTAGCTGTGCTTCTCTTCTTCTCCCACTTACCAGATCGAGGAGGAGGACGAGGAGGAGGAGGATGAGGAGGAGCAGCAGGAGCTCGTGGGGAGGAGCAGGACGGGATACATGATAGAGGAAAAGGAGGAAGAGGAGGAGGAGGAGGAGGAGGAGGAGGAGGAGGAGGAGGAGGAGGAGGAGGAGGAGGAGGAGGAGGAGGAGGAGGAAAGGTGAGGCGGCGGAAGGAGGGAGGCGGCGGAGGAGGAGGCGGAGGAGAAGGAGGAGGACGAGATCGGATCATATCAGATCGACTCTGGGAGAGGCCGAGTCATCCAAGAGACGCGGTTCCGTCTGTGGGTCTGCGGGGTCGCCTGTTTCTGGGCCCCGCTGGGGTTCGTCCGTCAACGGACCTGGAGGCAAAGCTGGCCCCAGGGAAGGGTCCCAGCCTCCTCCTCCTCCTCCTCCTCCTCCCCCTCCTCCTCCTCCTGCTCCTCCTCCTCACCCTCGTCCTCCTCCTCCTCCTCCTCCTCCTCCTCCATTTCCTCCTTCTTCTCCTCCTCCTCCTCCTCCTCCTCCTCCTCCTCCTCGCCCTCCTCCTTCTCCTCCTCCTCCTCCTCCTCCTCCTCCTCCCCCAGGCAAGCCGGGATCCAAGGGCTGGCGACCCGAAGAGGTGAAGTCAGCTCGTCGAGCGTCTGGGGAGGCAGAGGGGGGGGACTGAGGATACTGACGAGGAGGAGGGGAGGGGAGGGCATCCAGGGTGGAGAGGAGAAGAGGGGAGGGGAGGAGCGTGAACGGAGGGAGAGGGGAGGGGAGAGGGGATGGGGGGGAGATTGGGGGAGGAGATCTCAAAAGGGGAGGGAGCGGGTCTAGGGAATAAAGGGATGGAATGACAGCAGCACGCAATGGCAATTTTGTGTACTTATGTATGTATATATATATATATATACAGAGAGAGAGAGAGAGAGAGAGAGAGAGAGAGAGAGAAAGAGATAGAGAGTTGTTTCTGGGGTTATCGTGCTTTCGAACTTCCGACGCTCCAAGACGGCCCAATCTGTCCCGTAGACTTGCGCATCACCGGCGCCGCCAACATTGTGATTTCCTGGGGATTCCTGGGGTTCTGAAACCTGAACCTCCTGGGGATCCCAAGGTTGGTCTTGCTCAAGGGTATGAAATCCCAGGAACCCAAGGATTCCCATTGAAATCGCAGGGTTACGTTGATTTGCATCCCAGGAATGCCAGGGGAATCCCGGAATTCCATTGGGTTTGCGCATCGCCGACGTCTCGAACCTTGTGATTTCACGGGGATTCCTGGGATTCTGAACCCTGGACCCCCTGGCGATCCTAAGGTTGGTTTTGCTCCAGGGTATGACATCCCAGGAATCCCACTGAAATCGCAAGGTTTCGTTTATTAGCATCCCAGAAATCCAAAGAATCCATATGAAATCGTAACTTAGCTGATTTCTCGTCTACAGGATGGCTCACACGCTTGTTCGCCCTCTATGTAGAGGCAGCAAGCGCTTGCATCTGTCACATTGGCGCTTGTGGAAAATGTGCCGCTAGCGAATGCGGGGGGAGGCTTCAGCGAAGAAGAAGAAAACTAATAACAATAATAATACACATTATAATAAGAAGAGGCGCGGAGAGAAAAGGGAGCGTAGAATGGGAGCTGGGAGAGGGCTGTCTATATATATATATATATATATATACACAAACATATCTTCCAACAACTTTTCGTGCAACTTACTTTTGTCATCGATCCCCTGTTCGAAATCTGGGGTCCGTGGGTCCAGAGATACTCACTTCCAGCGACCGAGGGGTACGGGGCCCCTGGATACCCCCCCCCCTTCCCCGAAGTCCGGCCTGGCATCCCGAGCAGGTCTTCCGCGGCCTCCCAGCGCCCAGCGAGGGCCCCCGGAGGCCGACAGCGACGAACAGCCTCCGCGCTGCAGTGCGTTCAAAGGGGTAGGACGAAGCCAGGGCCAAGGCAAGACGAAGCCAGGACGAAGCCAAGACGACACCAAAAAACAAGCCAAGGCGAAACCGATGATGCGTGCAGATTGTCGCCTTCGGCAGGTCCGATCCGACTCGGCCCCGATGCCCCGACGAGCTTCGCCATGCGGGGAACACGTCCTGAGGGAAGCGGGTCCTGCATTTTTTTGCCTGTTTCGGGCTCTCGGGGCCCTGTACGGGCCCCGGGACTCTCAGAAACTGGCTCAGGCTGTGATGCTCCAACCTACTTTAGCCTGGATCACCAGAAAGAACTTCGATCACCAAAAAACAGAGACTGGAGGGTTTCCACGTTTGGGGCCCTGGGAGGCGATACTCGTTCGACACTGTTTCGATACTTTTCTGGGTGCTCGAAGTTATTGAATCGCTTCGCTCATTCCGCCGGCCCATTTCGCATGACTGAGCCTCTTGGAGCCGCTGGGGGGCCTCTTTAGCTTCGCTTGGGGGCCTCCTGAGGGCCTCTTGGGGGCTTTTGGGGCCTCTCAGGGGCCTCTTGAGGCCTCCTGGGGGCTTCTTAAGGCCGAGGGCTCGAAGTTTTGTTTTGTGTTCCCCCTTTGGGGCATCGCTTGGGGCCCTCTTGGGCCCCTCTTGGGCCGTCTTGGATGCCTCTGGGGCCGTCTTGGAGCCCTCTTGGGCCATCTTGGGGCCTTCTTGGGAGCTTCTTGGGCCCTCTTGGGGCGATCTTGGGGGCCTCTTGGGCCGTCTTGGGGCGTCGGGAAGCCGAAAAGATGGACACGCCAAAATCTGCCCCAAACCGAAGGAAAAGTAATGAATTTTGCCTCTTGGGGCCCTCTGGGGAGTGCTCTTGGAGGCCTCTTGGGGCGTCTGGGGGCCATCTTGGGCGTCTTGAAACGATCGTGTGGCATCTCGGAGCACTCTTGAACCATCTTGGAGGGCTCTTGGCGGCCTCGTGGCCCTTCTTGGGGCTCTCCGGAGGGCCACGGGGGCGGCGCCCAGGAGGAAAACCATCTCTGACCCGACCCTGCCGGGGATCGCCCGGGGTACTTTTCGTCGGGGGACCCCCAGGGGCCGCCCCGCGCGCGCGAAGTAGAAGTATTATTTAGCAGTTACCGGAGATCTTAGCACGCCTCTGGCCCGTTGGGCCGGCGAATTTCTGGGATGTTCCTTCAGTACGATGGGAGCAACATACGGCTCAGGATGAAAGGCTCATCCCCGAAGTCTGGCCTTGCATCCTGGAAGTCCTGGGGCCCAGCGAGGGCCCCTGGAGGCCGACAGCGATGAAACACCTCCGCATGAGATATTTCACTACGTTCAATGGACCAGCGCGTTCCACCACTCGCAAAGTAACTCCTCGCAAATGGCCTGGATCCGCCGCGGGGGATCTACGATACACTACACACAGGAAGACATGCTTTTCTTCTTCCCAGACTTTTGCGAGTATGCACTTTGCGAGTAGTGGCGCGCGCACGGTGATTCAAAGTCTGGGTCCGACCCCGCAGCCGGGCGGGCGCGCGCGCGCGGGGCGCCCCGTGTTCTTGTGCACGTCGTGGGCCACGACGTCGCACTGGAAGCCGAGCTTGAGAATGCGCGCCTGGCCCGGACTGGGAGCCCTCTGGCTCTGGAGACGTTTCGAGCCTCCGGAGAAGTCGCTGCCGCCGTCGCCGCCGCCGCCGCCGTCGTTGAATCGGAAGATTTGCCGATGCCTCCTGGGGAGGCCTCGGAAGGTCCTTCTAGGCCTCCCGACAAGTGGGGTCCGAGCGGATCGAGTCGGAGGATCGCGCCGCATCACCAACGCAACGCTGATGCATCGGCGATGCATCGGGTTCCACATCTAGCCGCATCGCCGGTGCGTAGGTCGGGCATGTCCTCCTACAGCCGGATGTTGGACGAAAAATAAACGACAGAATGTAAACAGACACGCAAACATAGCCAGACACAGTCAACAAGTCGCCCCCAGAGTATTGATACGCTGTTCTGGAAGATTCCCCCTGTGGAGGGACACGTTCCCGACTTGAAGCCTAGAGCCCTGGAGGCGTCCGTCGTGTCGACGTCGAAGCGGGAGGTTTTCCGACGCCTCATCCTGGAGGCCTCGGTCGTGCCCGGGCGGCTGGCCCCGGGGGCGGGGCCCCCTTCCTTCCCAGCAGCGCGGGGCTCGGCGCGGGCTTCGGGACGGCGCCGTGGATGCCCCGCCTGGCCTTTCGAAAGGGGCCCTGGGACACGCAAATGAATAGACACACGTCCCAGGATTCTCTATATTTTCGCGTCTGTTCTGGGCCTTCGTCTTCCCCCCAGCTACATGTTTCAACCTTTTCTCCTGGGAGTCGACGATTAATTGTGTCTGCGTGTTCTTTCCCCTCCTGACTTTCTCTGTTCAGCGGCGAGCCCAGGGAGGAAATGGGAGTTGGCAGGCCTCAGGGCTTCTCACAAGCCCCCGCGACGTCTGAGACGTTTTCCATGCCTTCGGGGAAAACTTCCCAGACATGCGACGTCCTGTTTTTTTCAGGACGGCGTCCCTGAAGTCCCGATTCTTTCCTCGGGACCGGTGTTTCGTCCTGAGTCGTTTTTTGACGGTCCCGAGGCCTGTCGAGGGCCCCCCGAGGCCGAAAGTTAGCAAAAGCCCTCCGTCCTGATTTTTTAATCAACGAAAGCTTCGAAAGCTTCTCCGAAAGCTTCGAAAGCTTCTCCCGTCGCAACCAGGTCTGGGCTCGAAAGCTTCTCCGAAGGCCCACGGCCTTCGCAGCCTTCCAAGAAGGCCCGCCACCTCCCATCACTTTTAGGTCGGGCGTGTCCCCCATACAAGGGGATTTTGGGCCACAAATTTAAGAATGCCACCAACATGCCCCCAAATGGGCAAACATAGTTTAAAAATATTCCCCAGACTACTTTTTGACTGTTCTTGAATTGAAGGGGCCCTGGGACACACAAACAAATACACACAAGTAAAAGGATTCCCCATATTTTCGCATATGTTCTGGGTTTTTGTCTTCCCCCCACTTCCCATATTTTCCAATATTTTCTAGGGAATCGACGATTCATTGTGTCTGTGTGTTTTTTTCCCTCCTGACTATGGGGGTGGGGGGGGGGCGAGGCGCTCCCAGAGAGCCACAGCGGCGGCACAAAATCGCAAACTTTCTCGGCGATGCGCGTGGACTTCGATCGGGGGGGTGAAAGGGGGGATAGCCAAGGGAAGGCTAGAGAACCGGTTACGTAGCTGATGTTCCCGGCGCCTCCTGAGTTTGGACGCCCGACACGGGTACGGAAAGAATGGGTACAATGCCCAACAACAGATGTTGTCCCAAACCAACAGCGGCCGCTGTTGGGCAAACGGCCTTCTGTCTCGAATGGACACAGGCCGCGGCGGCGTGGACAGCGAGTCCTGTTCAACATGAACCAGATCCGCTGTTGGGCATTGTGCCCGTTCTTTCCGTGCCCATTTATCGTTCGTGCAGATCCTGGCGCCGGGAGGCGCCCGTGTATCGAGGAATGGGCCAGGCGGCGGGGCCGAAACCAGCTGCACGCAGCAGATTTCGTACCCCCCCCTTTCCCCATCCCCCTCTTTCGTTCGGCCCGGACTTCGCGGGCCAGCGCCGAACGCCCCCATCCACGGCCCGGCGCTGGCAAGAGAAGCCCGCGCGGACCTCCGAGCGTTTGTGCCTCGTGCCGCTGTCTGGTTCTCTGCTGTCTTCGGGGGCGCGCGGACATGGATTAGCGATCCGTGGACTTGGCGCGCGGTCGCCACATCCATGGATCGGTGGAGGTGCCCTTCTCAGAATGCGGCCAATGCCGCCTCGCTCGGCGGCGCGAATCCGCAATTTCCCAGGGAAACTGGACCCTAATCCACGCCCCCTCAATCCATGTTTGCGATCGCCTGATTTCTCGGGCCCCGTGCTTCAATCCTCCGAGCCGCTTTCGATGGCCGCCTGGCTTCGGGCCGGCCTCCAGGGGCCCGACGTGGTAAGCTGCCGGCCGCCTCGAGCCTCTCGAGCCGCCGGACGCTTGGGCATGCGGCCAAAGTCTTGCCCCGTGGAGCCCCGAGCGAAGCCCCCTGGGGGGCCCCAGTCGCGCCCCGGCGCACGAGGAGCGCCAGGGGAAGACCCATGGAAGCAGCCGAGGCACCTCGGGGACCGAGGCCGGCCTCAAGAGGCACGAGATGGTGAACCGCTGGCCGCCTCGGTCCCGTCGAGACGCTGGTTGTCTGCGCAGGCAGTCGAAGTCTTGCCACGGGGAGCCCCGGATAGGGAACGGAGCCCCCTTCGGGGCCTCGGCAGCGCCCAGACGTGGTACGAACGCCAAGGACGATGACGACAACGACGCGGAGAAGCAGGACGAGGGGGAGGAGGAGGAGAAGGAGGAGGAGGAGGAGGAGGAGGAGGAGGAGGAGGAGGAGGAGGAGGAGGAGGACCGACACATCAAGACGGCCCAAGCAGCCCCCAAGACCGCCCCAAGAGGGCCCAAGAGGCCCCCAAGAGGGCCCCAAGACCGCCCAAGAGGGCTCCAAAACGGCCCGAGAGACCTCCAAGACGGCCCCAGAAGGCCCCAAGAACGCCCCAAGAGAGGTCCCAGGGGGGGAACACGAAACAACATTTCGAGCTCTAGGCCCTAAGAAGCTCCCAGGAGTCCCCAAGAGGCCCCTAAAAGGCCTGGGCCCCCAACAGGCCCTCAGGAGGCCCCCAAGAGGCCCCCAAGCGGCCCCAGGAGGTCTCCCAAATACCCCCCCGAGCACGCAAGCAAGTGCAAACGACCCGACGCGTTTCAGAGTCCCCACGAGGCCACCAAGATGCCTCCCGAAAGAGTCTCCATAGGCAAAACGCTTGCAGACGGCCCGCGACGCGTTCAAGACTCCCCCAACGGCCACCAAGAAACCTCCCGAGAGAGCCCCCATAAACAAACATACATAATGCCCCATGCGTTTTCCAACGAATTTGCCGTTCTCGCTTTTTCCGCTTCCCCGGGCTCCAAGATTGCCGCAGATGCTTACAAGATCACCTCAAAACAGCCCAAGAGGGTTCAGAAGGAGCCCGACAACGCTCCAGAAGGAGCCCAGATCGGTCCAAGAGAGCTCCAAGACAGGCCCAGGGGCATCAAAGACGGCCCAGGAGCCTTTTAAGACGGCTTGCAGAGAAAGCCCAGACGGGGAACGCGAACAGACGTTTCGAGCTCTCGGCCCCAAGAGGCCTCCGGCAGGCCCTCAGAGGCTCCCGAAGAAGCCCCAAACCCAAGAAGCATCCCTGAGGACTCTCACCCACAACCCAGCCACAATGGCGGGATGGGCCGAAGGCTCTTACCCCGCACATGCCGAACGCAAAGCCTGATAAAAAAAAACAACCGCCGCCCCTGCAGCTCCGCACCGCGAAAGACCACTCGGTCAGTCGACAACGGCGCGCAATATGGGCCGGCGGAGTGAGCGAAGCGATTCAATAACATGAATCGTTTTCTGCGTTCTTGGTTTTCTTGTGGGGACATGTAAACGCTGAAACAATGATTTCCAACACGCCGAATTAACGGTACAACAACACACCCTGTGCAGTCGGACTGCCAGGGCGCAGCAGTGACATTGATTCGCGGTGTTGGAATCCCAAGAAGGGTGTTTGGCACGGCTTTGGACCGCCAGGACGCAATATGTAGTAAAAGTGATTTGTTGCGATGGAGTCCCACGAGAACATGTCGTTGCACGGTTCAGGATTTTCAAACGGTTGTCTTCCAACGGGACACTTCCCTCAGTGAAAACGAATCCTTGTAGGGACCTGTGGAGAGGGAGCTTGGAGGGCGGGTTCATTATTGTAATATCGTTGACGAGTCTGGGGTTTGCACTGGTCCTCCTCCTCCTCCTACAAACTCTCGCCCCCCTCGTCCTCCTTCTCCTCTTCCTCTCCACTTCTTCTGCCTCCTCGTCTTCCCCGTCCTGCTCGGGGAACTTCCGGACTTACCGAAACCTCCCAAACACCTTCAGACACTCCTATGCGTAACCTCCGAACCTACGAAAGACCTGGGCGGTGTAGGCTCGAGAGAGAGGACTGCGGCAAAGCAATCGCGCAAGAGGAGCGACCGTACCGTAAGAAGGAACAAACACAGCCTAAAAGAGCCCCTCCTCCTCCTGGTCCTCCTCGCGCTGCCAGTCTCCCAGAGGAAGATGGGGAGCAGGAGGACAACGAGGTGGAGAACAAGGTGGAAGAGGAGGACGAGAAGGTGGAGGAGGTAAAGGCGAAATATGGGAACATAGGAGAAGGAGGAGGAGCAGGAGGAGGAGGAGGACGAGGAGGGGGATGATGATGATGATGATGATGATGATGATGATGATGATGATGATGATGATGATGATGATGATGAGGAGGAGGAGGAGGAGGAGGAGGAGATGGCTGATGAGAAAGATGATCGAAGTCAGGATCGATTCTTTCGAGGAGGGGTCCTCCGAAAACCTCCCAGTATGCTCGGGGGTCTGTGGTAAACCCACATTCGGTGGTAGACCCACAACCCCTTCCAGGGCCTCCCGAGATCATCAGAGAACCTCCGATATCCAGTGACGAGGTCCCCCTCCTCCTGCTACTGCTCCTTCTCCTCCTCCTCCTCCTTCGGCAACGACGACGGTGGCCACCGAAGGCTGCCGAGGGCCGCCGAAGGCCAATACGACGACGGCGACCAAGGCGGCGGTCTGGCCACGATGCTGCCGATGAGGCCAGTGCCGACGACGCCCACGCGCTTGCCGACCATGTCGAAGCCCATCTGGCCGACGAGACTGAAGTTGCCGCCTCTCGTCTTCGACCACGCCTCGCGTTGTTTCCGCCGCCGCCGCAGTAGTCGTGGCCAACGCCGCCGCCGTCGTTGTCGTGGTCGTGGTCGTGGTCGTGGTCGTAGTATTGGTCGTCGTCGTCGTCGTCGTCGTCGTCGTCGTCGTGAAGGTCGTCGTCGCCGTCGCCGTCGCCGCCGTTGTCGTCGTCATCGTCGTCGTCGTCGTCGTCGTCGTCGTCGTCGTCATCGTCACCGTCACCGTCGTCGTGGTCGTGTGTCGTCGTGTGTCGTCGTGTGTTGTCGCAATGTCGTCGTGGTTGTCGTCGTCGTGGTTTGTCGTTGTCATCGTTGTCGTCGTGGTCGTCGTGCGTCGTCGTGGTCGTCGTTCCTCGTCGTAGTCGCCGCCGTCGTCGTCAGTGTCGGATGAGGAGGAGGAGGAGGAGGAGGAGGAGGAGGAGGAGGAGGAGGAAGAGAAAGAGGAAGCGTGCGGCAGCAGTGTTGGGGTCCTGGACTGGGCCCTCGTCCTGGCCTGGCAGGTCTGTTCCTGCTCCTGCCCTGTGCTGCAGCTCTGGCCCCCCCCTCCTCGAGGCTGCGCTCCGTCCTGCTCCCGCTGCTGCTGCTGCCGCTGCCGCTGCCGCTGCTGCCACCCCTCCTTCTCATTCTCCTCCTCCTGCCACCTCTCCTTCTCCTCCTGCTTTACCTTCATGTCCTCGCAATTTGTTCCTTCGCCTTCTCGTGGTCCTCCTCCTCATCCTCATTCTCCTCCCCCTCCTCCTCCTCCTCCTCCTCCTCCTCCTCCTCCTCCTCCTCCTCCTCCTCCTCCTCCCCTCCTCCCTCCTCCTCCTCCTCCTCCTCCTCCTCCGTTCCGTGTCCTTATACATAACTTCTTCCTGTCGCACCCCGAAACTAGTTTTTAGGGCAGTCTGGGCGTTTCGCCTGAGACTTCCTCACCATCTATGACTCTGAAGCTGAAACGTTGACAACAGTTTCACATATGGAGTGCGGGTGGTTTTCAAAGTGTGGCTCTCGCCTTAGCGCCGCGCACACATTCGCCTTCCAAAGTTGCAAGAGTTTCACGCATTGAGGGCGGGTGATTTCAAAATGTGGCTCTCGCAGCGTACTGGGAGGTTTTCGGAGGACCCCTCCTCGGAAGAATCGATCCTGACTTCGATCATCTTTCTCATTTGCCTTCTCCTCCTCCCCCTCCTCCCTCCTCCTCCCTCCTCCTCCTCCTCTTCCCCTCCCCCTTCCCCCTCCTCCTCTCCTCCTCCTCCTCCTCCCTCCTCCCTCCTCCTCCTCCCTCCTCCTCCTCCTCCTCCTCCTCCCCCTCCCCCTCCTCCTCCTCATTCTCCTTCTCCTCCCCCTTCCTCCTATTTCTCTTTCTCCTCCGCGCCCTCCCGCACGGGATTTGGTGCCTCGACCCAGACTTCCTCGCGCCGTGACAGAAATCACGGGACCCTCACGGGAATCTGTCCGACACTTTCGGCCCCACGGGGCCCTTCCCGGGCGGGCCCCTAGGACCGCCAACAAAAACGACTCAGGACGAGAAGCCGGCCCCGAGAGGCAGGGGTCCAGCCCTCTGGCCCTCTGGGGGTCGACGCTGCGAACAAAAAATCACCACGTCGGAGGTCTGGGGATTCGAGGCGGCTGGGGGGTCTGCACTGGCTGGGGCCCCGGGAAATCGGCCCAGAGACGCCGCTGAAAGATCGGCCCGCAGACGGCCGAAGCCAGGGCGAGGAGGAATTCGGGCGCGGCGACAGCGGCCACATCCGAGAGCCTGCAGCTCGAGGATGTCTCAGAGGCGCCTCGGCCTTCCCAGGGCGTCCCGGAACGCTCTGAGAGCGTTCTAGGCTCGGAAACGGATTTATCCTCGCCCCCGGGCCCCCGATCCCCAAAGATCTCGACCCCAGACATGCGACGTCTTTATTTTTTCAGGACGGCGCCCCCGGAAGTCCCGACCCTTCCCCCGGGGCCGGTTTTTCCTGAGTTATTTTCTGACGGCCCCGAGACCCGGCGAGGGCCCCCCGGGGCCAATAATCATAAAAAAACGCCCGTCCTGTTATTTTTTCTACGACGCGGTCATGTCTGGGACCCCTTCCCCTGGACCGGTTTGTCACCCATGAGTCGTTTTGTTGACGGCCCCGGGGCCCGGGGAGGGAACCCCGCCGTCGTGATATTTGTCATGGCTCGGGGGGGGGGTCCTGGCCTCGTCCAGCCCCGACCCCTCCCGGGGTTCCTCTGCTGCGGTTTCCCTGACCTTCTCCAGGAGGGCTAGAAAGCAGCACCCGACTCAAACACCTACCCCAAAGCAATTCTACGTCTTGGTTTTAGGCTGTTTCGCTCAGTTTTTTTATGAAGGGGCCCTGGGACACACAAATAAATACACACAAACAAAAGGATTCCCAATATTTTCCCATATCTTCTGGGTTTCTGTCTCCCCCCCCCACTGCCCACATTTTCCTTTATTTTCTGGGAAATCGACGATTGGTTGTGTCTGTGTGTTTTTTCCCTCTTGATCTTAGGTTGGCTCCCTGGAAGGTCAAGGCTTTCGCCCCTGCAGAGGCTGCTCTTCACGGTCCCGCCGGGGGGGGGGGGGGCTGGAAGCGGCCACCCCGCGAGGAGGCCGAGGCGTGCCACAAGAAGGCCTCCCGGCGCCCGGAGCCCCTCGAGCCTGCTGGCCCTGCCTGCGGGCCCCGAGCCAGGTGCTCGGCGACGAGCGTTACGTCGGGCCTGTCCCTCTACAGGAGGAATATTCAAAAAATAATCAAAAAATAGTGTGGGGGCTATTTTTTGCATATTTTTTGATCATCTTGGAATATTTGTTTAGATATTTTTTCGTCGAGAATCCCCCTGTAGGGGGACACGCCCGACTTAAGACGAGCGGGGGGTGGGGAAACGAGAAGGCTTTTTCAGAAGGCGGCGGGGCTTCTCACAAGTCCTCCAGCCTTCTGAATTTTTGTTTTGTGCCTTCGGGGAAGGCTCCGACAACTTGATCTCAGAAAGGCAGGGGGGCTTCCGATCCTTCTGACCAGGCCCGCCCCTTCTCACTTCCCCCCCGCGCTCGCCGCCGATGCTGGGCCCCGAGCCAGTGCGGGGCCCGCCCTGAGATCCCACGCAGCGGAGAAATGACGGCACCATAGAAAATCACGCCCAGAGCCCATAGACCCCGTGTTCCTGCGTCCTCCGTCGACCAAAACTCATAGCAATATTCAGGCATGGGTGTATGCAGGCATCGAATGGCTCAAAGAATCAGGCTTCGTAGCAATTCCCACGGACAAACATGGAGGCAATTGTCTGGTTAGGGAACAAGCGTTGACAGTATTGTCTGGTTGGGAAAATGACAGCACCATGAAAAATCACGCCCAGAGCCCATAAACCCCGTCTTCCTGCGCCCTCCGCCGAGCCAGAGCGACCCTGTGAGGGTCCCCGGCCCCGAGCAACAAAAAAACGACGGCGCCCGGCACGGCACAAAAATGGATGCGCCAGGATCCCAAGGACCTCGGGCCCCCCAAACTGGAATCAGACAAACGGCATAAGCATAAATCTTTGGGGCTCCGCGCGGATTTCTTGCATCCGCGCTGCAGCCCGGCGCGCGCCAGGGTTGGCGCCGGAGGCGCCGCCAGGGGCGGCCCAGCAAGGATCCAAGAAATCCGCGAGGAACGCCGTCAAATCATGTTTACGGCATTTTTTCTTCTTCGACAAGCGGCTGCAAAGCCTGGGGGATGCGCCGGTTCAGCGCGAGCATGAGGGCTACCGCGTGCTCGGCGACGGCGTGCGGGCTGTAGGCGGGCACGCGCGCCACGGTGATGCCCTGCCTCGCGGGCTGCCGGGGGGGGGGGGGGGGGGGGCGAGGCGCGGGGGGGGGCGGCGCGCACGTCGCCAGAGGAGGAGCACTCACTGGCGGAGCCCAGGGGGGCACAAACAGGTCGACACCAGGTCAAAGATTTCGCATGTTTGTCCATACCTCCCGCATTGTCCTATCCCCCTCCGCTTCCAATGTGTGTATATATATATATATATATAGATCGACCGATCGATAAATAGTTGTATCGATCGGCCAGTCGATAGATATATGTACATATATATATATATACACAACAGTTATTCACGACAGACCCAAGTTTTTTTTTTTTTTGTGTGTGTGTGTGTGTCTTGTGCCTGCTTTTCCTGACGCGCAATTGGCACATGCGATACAACCGAAAATCCGCCGACCCTGTCGGCGTGCGTGAGGGGTCTGTCTGGTCCCTTCGACGGGACGCCTTTTCTGTTCATCCTTCTCCGTCGGGAGGGAGAGAGCGAGAGGACTCTCCCGTCGTCGGGGGAAGGATTCTGGGAATTGAAGGAAATCGACCCGCGTCATAGTCACGTCAGGAAGCCCCTTCCCATTGTCCCTTCCCCGGCGAGGGGGGGAGGGAGGGGGGGGTCCGGGGGGGGGGGGTCAGATTCGAATCGCCTCTGGGGGCCCTCCTCTCCCACGCCGGTGCTTCTCCGGCGCGCCGGTCCTCCTCTGGCTCTCCTCCCCAGGTGGGGAGGAGCACCAGGGGGGGAGGGGAGTAAGGTATGCATCCGTCCCTGGGGGTCCTCCTCCCCCTCCCCTTCCCTCTCCCACGCCGGTCCTCCTCTGGTCCTCCTCCCCATTACCTCCTCATTCGCCTCCTGCTCCTCCTCCTCATCCTCCTCCTCCTCCTCCACTTCCTCCTCCTCCTTTTCCTCCCCCTCCTGGTCGTCGCCGGTGTCTTTCAGGATCGGCGGCACTGGCCGTCAGGCCTTCACAATAAATAATATCAAGCCACTATCACTCAACAATTGGACGCCTGGAAATGGGCACCAACACCAACACATGGGGTTGCCTCCACAGGGGAAAATGATCCTAGATTTCGGTGTTGGCGGTAATATCTCGGCCACCTTGGAAGCCAGAGTATCACCACCATCACCGAGATTGGGATCTTCGTCCCTCGGTGGAGGCACACCGCCGATATTGGTGTTGGTGTCAACCTGTATAAGCCTGCGAAACAAACCTGGGCCAGCTTCCCGGACGCTCCTCAGCAAGAAGCCTGGGAGGGGAGCCCAGGCCAGCTCTCGCGGGCCAGGTGGTCAAGAAACGCTGGCACAACTTCTCAGGAGGGGGAGGGGGAGGAGGAGGAGGAGGAGGAGGAGGAGGAGGAGGAGGAGGAGGAGGAGGAGGAGGAGGAGGAAGAGGAGGAGGGGGAGGAGGAGGAGGGAGTCTGAGGTCTCCGAATCCGATGCTCGACTGTACGACATCCCGAGATAAGAACCCCAGGGACACATCCTTCGTCGATCTCCGAGCCTCGCGGGGTGCCCCAGGGCACAGAGATCACGTCCTTCGTCGATCTCTGAGCGCCCCAGGGCTCAGAGATCAAAAACTGTCGTGGGGCACCCTTTTGGCAGGCCCATGCGTGATGTTTTTTTTTTTTTTTTTTTTTTGTGTGGTTCTAGAGGTGGACCCAGGCCAGAAAAAGCATCCCTCAGGAACATGAAACCCTCCGTGGGCCCAAACACACAGAACATTCAAGGGTACCCTCCTCAAGATGCGCAAGAACAGCCAACAAGTACGAAGAACAACAGGGTCTACCCTCCCCGAACCGACCACGATCTTGTACCTCGGTCCGACTGTAGTCACAGCGGTTTCATGGAGCGGTTTCGAATCTTTCCGACAATTTCGTTGGCTCCTCGGATCGGGGAAGGAAACGCGCCATCAACATACACTTTTCTGGCGTTCCGCGCGGATTTCTTGGATCCGCGGCGGAGCGCGGCCAGGGAGGCGCCGCCAGGGGGGGCCCAGCGCGGATCCAAGAAATCCGCGCGGCGCGCCAGAACAGTTTACGATTATGGCGTTTTTCTTCTGCGACCCACGTAAGATTAAGTCGAGCCTGTCCCTCTACAGGGAGGATTTTCAAAAAAAATTAAAAAATAGTGTGGGGACTATTTTTTGGTATCTGTTGACCATATGGGAATATGTGTTGAATATGTTTTAATTTTTCGTCGAACATCTCCCTGTAGGGGGACACGCCCGACTTAAACCTAAGAGGTTTTCCAGCCTCTGGATGGTGTCGCCGAGAGCGCTCTGGGCGAGCACGGCCATCGGACCCGAGAGCCGCAAGGGCCCGAGCGTTGTGTGGCCCGAGAGCCAAACGCCTCCGCGTGCCCTGGGCAGAAGCAGCGATCCGGGGATCGAGGACCGAGGACACGAGGATCGAGGCTCGAAGTTCTGGGTCGAGGATCGAGGATTCAAGAATCGAGGATCGAGGATCGTGGATGGAGGATCGAGGATCGAGGGCCGAGACACGAGGATTGACGATGGAAGTTCTGGATCGACGATCGAGGATTCAAGGACCGAGGATCGTGGATGGAGGACACGAGGACCGAGGACAGGTGGATCGAGGCTCAAAGCGCAAGGTTGTGGAAAGCTTTGGGCCTCGGAGGGGCGCCGTCGTCATTGCGGTGGGATCCGCCTCGAAGCTCTGCTCAGACTGCGCCGCTGGACAGGTCACGGGGCTGGTTTACGGATGAGGCGAGGGGACGGCGAACCACACCACCAACGCCCTGGAACAAACAGCCTTCCCCCCTCCTCCGCCTCCTCCTCCTCCTCCTCCCTCTCCTCCTCCTCCTCCTCCTCCTCCTCCTCCTCCTCCTCCTCCTCCTCCTCCTCCTCCTATGGCGCAACCGGTAGGCGACGATTTTAGTCTCGGCCGCCGAGGGCGCAACCTATGGCTCAACCGAACAGAAACGGTTTTATTCTCGTCCGCCGAAAGCGGAAACGATGGCGCAACCGACAAGAAACGGTTTTATTCTCAGCTGCCGAGAGCGCCACCTATGGCGCAACCGGTAGGAGACGCGTTTAATCTCTGCCGCCGAAGGCGCATCCTATGGCGCAACAGAAAAGAAATGGTTTTGTTCTCGTCCGCCGAATGCGCAACCTATGGCGCAACTGAAAAGAAACAATTTTAGTTTCGGCCGCCGAGGGCGCAGCCTATGGCTCAACCTATAGGAGACGGTTTTGTTATCGTCCGCCGAATGCGCAACCTATGGCGCAACAAAAAAACGGCTTTATTCTCGGCCGCCGAGGGCGCTGCCTATGGCGTAACCGGTATGAGATGATTTTAATCTCGGCCGCCGAGGGCGCACCCTACGGCTCAACCTATAGGAGTCGGTTCTATTCTCGTCCGCCGAAGGCGCAACCTATGGCGCAACAGAATAGAAACGACTTTATTCTCGTCCGCCGAAGGCGCGACCTACGGGGCAACCTATGGCGCAACCGAAAAGAAACGGTTTTATTCTCGTCCGCCGACGGCGCAACCTATGGCGCAACCGAAAAGAAACGGTTTTATTCTCGGCCGCCGAGGGCGCCACCTATGGCGCAACCGGTAGGAGACGGTTTTATTCTCGTCCGCCGAAGGCGGAAACTATGGCGCAACCGACAAGAAACGGTTTTATTCTCAGCTGCCGAGAGCGCCACCTATGGCGCAACCGAAAAGAAACGGCTTTATTCTCGGCCGCCGGGGGCGCAACTCTTGGCTCAACCTATACGAGACGGGTTTGTTCTCGTCCGCCAATGGCGCAACCTATGGCGCAACCGAGAGGAAACGGTTCTACTCTCGGCCGCGGAGGGCGCCACCTACGGCGCAACTGGTAGGAGACGATTTGGAGATGGTTTATTCTCGGCCGCCGAGGGCGCACCCTGTGGCGCAACCGGTAGGAGAGGGTTTTTATTCTCGGCCGCCGACGGCGCAGCCTATAGCGCAACCTAGGTGCCAGGAGAAAGAGGATGAGCAGGAGGAGGAAGAGGAGAATCGAGGACGAGACCTTCGACGAGGACGACGGGGAAGAGCTGGAGCAGGAGGAAGACGAGGAGGATGAGGAGGACGAGGGGGAGGAGGACGACGACGATCAGGATGGGGAGGACGACGGGGAGGAACACGAGTGGTACGAGGACGAGGTGGGGGCCATCGAATGCGTGCGGGGCTGCGCCCGATTTCTGCTCGCCCTTTTGGGCTGGCGGTGGGGCCTAAGCGGCGAGCTGTCTTGCGATCTCAGGGGAACAAAAAGTGACATAAACATAGCGCGCCAGGGGCGGCGCAGGCGGCGCCGCCGGGGGGCCCCAGCGCCGATCCGAGAAATCCGCGCGGACCTCCAAGTTTTCATGTTTCTGCCACTCTTTGTTCCCCTTAAGATCTGCTTCTCGCGGCGCAGCGCGTCATCCGGCACTGTCCGGCGCAGACTCGTCGCTCACCACCGTGTAGTCGCGCCGGATTTCTGCTCGCCCTTTTGGGCTGGCGGTGGGGCCTCAGCGGCGAGCTGTCTTGCGATCTGCTCCTCGCGGCGCAGCGCGTCACCCGGCGCTGTCCGGCGCAGACTCGTCGCTCACCACCGTGTAGTCGCTCTCGCTGGTCCCGTCCAGCAGGCTCCAGAGCGGCCGCCCCCGCAGCCCCGCCGTGGCCCGCCGCAGGGCCCTGGAGGCGGGCTCCGCCGCGAGCTCCACGAAGAGCCCCGCCAGCAGCCAGAGCAGCGCCAGGAAGAGCAGGAAGGTCGGGGGTCGCTGGAGGTGCCCCTGGCTCCAGGTGCCCGCCAGCTTTTCGCTCAATTTTGGAGCCCCTGTGGCCCTCTGGGCGTCGTGAGGGGTGCTTTGGAGGCCTTGAGGGCCTCCTTGGAAATCCTGGGGGCACCTTGGGCCAGGGGCACTTCTTGCAGCACCCGAGAAGGGCTTCGTGGACGCGGGCAGGCCCCGCCAGATCCGCACCGGGCCGCAGCACGAGGACCAGAGGCGACGACAGGGGCGACTAGCCCAGGGGAGAGCAGCACGATAAAATCCATGTCGGAGCGGCGGGCCCGGCCCGCCAGGGCCGCTTAAGCCCCCCAGCGGGCCGGCGGGCCGCCTCGGGCCGGAGGCCTGCCTGCCGCTGCCTGCGACATGCGAGTCGCGTGTGGGGGGAAACCCACACGACAACGACGACGACGACGACGACGACGACGACGACGACGACGACGGCGGCGACGACGACGACGGCGGCGACGACGACGACGACGACGACGACGACGGCGGCGACGACGACGACGACGACGGCGGCGACGACGACGACGACGACGACGACGACGACGACGACGACAACGGCGGCGACGACGACGACGACGACGACGACGACGACGACGACGACGACGACGGCGGCGACGGCGACGACGACGACGGCGGCGACGGCGACGACGACGACGACGACGTTCGACGACGACGACGTTCGACGACGACGACGACGTTCGACGACAGTGGTCCGAGTCGAATACTCAGGTGCGCCGATGATCCATGTCTTCGATCAGGCTCCCGGGCGAATGCGTGTAATGCCCGCCCCTGGGCTCCTCGCCCCTCTCGTCGCCGCCGAGAGGAGGGCTCCCTGAGCCACAGCAGGCACGTGTGGAGGGGCACCTGGAAGAGGTACACCTCCATGGAGTACGCCCCCAGCGACGACAGGGCCGGGTGCGCCAGCAGCCGCGCCATGCGGGAGCGGCCGCCGCCGCTGCCGTAGATCCACAGCAGCGAGGCCGGCGCGGAGAGCCTCCCGGGCGCGGCCTGACCGACCCCCCGCAAGCCATCCCCCTCCGTGACGTCGCCCTCGCCTGTCGAGCTTCCCTCCGGCCGCACACGTACACGTCGCGGGGCGAGGCGAGGGGGGACGTCACGAGAGGGGGCGGCCTGCTCAGGGTCGGTCGGGCCGCCCCCGAGCCTCGCGAGCAGCTGGCCCCACCCGGCGTAGTGGCTGCTGCGCCTCAGTTGGCCCTGGAAACGGCAGGCCCGTTTTTGCACCGTTTCCAAAAAATGTCTCTCGAAGACGTAAGCGGCAAAAAACGGTGACCGGAAACGGCAACAAAACGGCTCCAGGGTTAGAGCCGCAGCCGGGAAAACAACAGCGACGGCACCTTAAAAAAACGGCGTCGGAACCGGCAACACAAACGGCCAGACGGAACCGGTGAACAAAAGCGGCCCCATCGTTTCCAGGGCCCACTAAGTGCTGCGCCACGCCGGGGGCGCGCCCCAGTCCTTGAGCAGGGGCCGACCGTCCTGGCATCTCTATAGGCCTACCACGACATGTTCTTAGAAGCCAGAAGTGCTCTAAGAACAAACGCACTAATGCTCTTGGAGTATAGCCCCGATGCGTTATACAACATGACCGTCTCAGCCAGAAAGGCTCTAAGAGCAGTTCGTGCAAACCACAAAAGCTTCTTAGAACACTCTTCGGTGGGCCTCTAGGCCTAAGTCGGGCGTGTCCCCCTACAGGGGGATTTTCGACGAAAAATAAAACATGCCCCAACAAGATTCCAAAATGGCCAACAAATATACAAAACATAGTCCCCAGACTATTTTTTGACTATTTTTGAATTTTCCTCCTGTAGAAGGAAAAGCCCGACTGAATGCTTGCTCTGTCTGCCGACACGTGTCGTAGCGGACCTGGACTTCCAAAAAGGGCCCCCCTCGTTTTCTGCGCAATCGGAGACATGGAGCTGCGTACCTTGAAGGTGGCGCATGCGCACGAGAATCCGATCATCGTTTAACCGATCCCCATCCCCAGCGGCGTGGTCTGAGCCCCGCTGGCCGAATTACCCCCCCAGATGGGCATGTATGGCGAGCCTACAGGGGATCTTCGACGAAAAATAAAACATGCCACACAAATGCTCCAAAATGGTATTAAACAAATAGTCCCCAGACCTTCTTTTGACTATTTTCGAAGATTCCTCCTGTAGAGGGACAGGCCCGACTTAACTCTAGGCTTAGGTTGTTCCCATCCTACTTAAGGACCGCATCCCAGAAATAATTTCGAGCACCCAGAAAAGTGTCAAAAGAGTGTCGAAACAGTGTCGGGCGAATGTCTCCCAGGGCCCGACATGTGAAAACCCTTGAGTCTCGGTAATTTTTTTTGGCGCTCGAAATTCTGTCTGGTGGTCAAGGCTAAAGTGGGTTGGAGCATCATAACTCTAGGCGAGCCAGGACGCTTCGCCACTGCTGGAAGTCCGGCGGCGGCTCCGCCGCGGGAGGGGCCAGCAGGCACGCGAGCAGCAGCGCTGCCACGGCCGCGTCGCCCGCTGGGCCGCTGGCGGGGGGCGGCGGCCACCGGAGCCGCACCGCGGCTGCCGTGGCTCCCAGCGCGAAGTCGGCCAGCTGCGCCGGCGGCCAGAACCACGTGCGCACCACCTGGCTCCAGAGGAGGAGGAGGAGGAGGTGGAGGAGGAGGGGGAGGAGGAGGAGGAGGAGGAGGAGGAGGAGGGAGGAGGAGGAGGAGGAGGGGGAGGAGGAGTAGGAGAGGAGGAGGAGGAGGAGGAGGAGCAGGAGGAGGAGGAGGCAGGAGGTGGAGGAGGAGGAGGGAGGAGCAGGAGGAGGAGGAGGAGCAGGAAGAGGGGGAGGAGGAGGAGCGCACCGCCTGGTTCCAGCTCATCCACCCCCCGTTCCAGGCGATCACGGCGAGCTGGGGCCCGATTGCGGCCGCCCAGGCCGCGAGCAGCAGGAGGCCCAGGCGCCACGGCCGCCAGTGCGCCGCGGCGCAGAGCACGGGCTGCAGCACGAAGGGGTATAGCATCCACGATGGTAGCAGCGCCGCCAAGTACCACACCGGCATGTTCGGGCAGTCCGGGGCCGGGCTGAACCACGGCCGCGCGAAGCACAAGCAGCCGAGCAGCCGCCACGACAGCACCGGGATGCCCGCGAGGCCGTCCAGCGCCGCGGCGGCCAGCATGGCCAGCTGCGCCACGGCCACCGCGCGCCCGGCACGCCGCGCCCAGAAGTGCACCAGCGAGCCTGCCGTCGACAGCAGGTCCTCCCCAGAGTACGTGAGGTGCGTCAGGAAGCCGCTGAGGAGTGTGAAGAACTCGACGCCCACGTCCACGCGCTCGGTCAGGGGGTCCAAGACAGACTCTGGATCATCTCGAGGCGCCATGTGGTGGCATACTATCCAGAGGGCCACCAGCACTCGAGCGCCATCCAGGTGTGGGAGCCGCAGCTGTTGCCTAGGAGGCTCAGGCAGCTTCGACTCTGAAGGCGAATGGGACATGGCCCCGAATTCCACATCGGATGAATTGGTCTTGAGCCAAAATGGTTACGGACCAGGGGCTGCTTGCAGCGCACCGCTGGAGGGGAAGAGGACGATGAGAATGAGGAAGAGGAGCATGACGCGGAAGAGAAAGACAGGGCATGGAGGGGGAGGATGAAGATGAGACCGATGAGAAGTACACATAATGAAGAAGATAATGCTGATGAGGAATACGAAGGACGACGAGGAACAATGATCATTATGACGATAAGGTAAAGGAAGAAGGACCAAGGGTTGGCAGATGGGGGGGGGTCCTTCTCCTCCCCCTCCTCCTCCTTCTCCTCCTCCTCTCCTCCTCCTCCTCTTACCCTCTCCTCCTCTTCCTCCTCTTCTTCCACCTCCCCTCCTCTACCACCTCATCACCAACATCGTCCATGCTGGAGCTCTCGCGAGACCACCTCTGGGCTTGTCTTGGGAGCCTGCGGGCCCGTGTTGGGGTCCTCTTGGGGCCCTCGGGTAGCCGCTTGGGGCCGTTTCGGAACCATATCACACCCACTTGGAACTCCTTGGGCTCTCATGAGGCCGTCGCGCAACGGAGAATGAGTAATTTGAGTGAGACAGGATGGAACGCAATGATGTTTGGAACGGCGCCATGTGCTCGAATGCTCCCTTTTTGTTACTGTGCTGCGGTCAGGAAGACGGTCTACGTTCAAGCACGCCTGCGACTACTGGGCAGAGGATGAGGAAGAGGAAATACAACGCCAGAATGAGGAGCCGAACGGTCATTCACTGTCCCCGGGTGCGTGGCTGAAGTGGGATTCCGCGATGCGGATTATTGTTGTTGTTGTTAATGTTGCTGTTTGCTTGTTGTTGTTTGGTTGTTGTTGTTGGTGTTGTTGTGGTTGTTTGGCGTCGTCCCCCCCGCGACCCAACCACGACCCGCCCAAGACCCACCCGCGACCCGCCCGCGACCCACCCACAACCCACCCGCAGCCTACCCGCGACCCACCCCGCGACCCACCCACGACCCGCCCAAGACCCATGCGCGACCCATGCGCGACCCATGCGCGACCCATGCGCGACCCACTCGCGACCCACCCGCGACCCACCCCGCGACCCACCCGCGACCCATGCGCGACCCACCCGCGACCCACCCCACGACCGGGTCCGCGACCCACCCGCGACCCTCATGGTGACCCACGCACATTGCTTTAACGAAAAATCGGCGCCCCCGGCGGGCTCGTTGTAGAATTTGAAGTCGACGCCTGCGGCGGGCTTCTGCAGAGCCTCGCAGACTGCAGACGTCCCCGCCGCCCCATCACTCTTCTCCGCGACTGCGGGGTGCTATGTACTTTCATGTTTCTCCCCATCACGCAAAAGTTGCAAACACTATACATTTCGTTGCGGCAGAGCTGGGCTGGCGATGGAAGGCAACCACCGTGCGGTCTGCGCTAAGGCAAGCCAATCGGGAACAACACAGTATATCAGAGCGGGGGGTCCGAACGGTCATTCACTGTCCCTGGGTGCGCGGCTGAAGTGGGATTCCGCAATGCGGGTTATTGTTATTGTTGTTGCTGCTGCTGTTGCTGTTGTTGCTGTTGTTGTTGTTGTTGTTGTTGTTGTCGTTGTGGTTGTGGTTGTTTTTATTGTTGTTGTTGCTGCTGCTGTTGTTGTTGTCGTTGTTGTTTGGTTGTCTGGCTGCTTGGTTGCTTGGTTGTTGTTGCTGCTGTTGTCGTTGTTGTTGATGCTGTTGTTGATGATGGTGTTGTTGTTGGTATTGTGGTTGTGGTTGTTGTTGTTGTTGTTGTTGTTGTTGTTGTTATTGTTGTTGTTATTTGGCGACGTCCCCCACGCGACCCGCCCCGCGACCCACCCGCGACCGACCCCGCGACCCGCCCGCGACCCACCCGCGACCCACCCGCGACCTGGCCCGCGACCCACCCGCGACCCATCCGCGACCCACCCAACGACCCGCCCGCGACCCTCCCGCGACCCACCCCCGCGACCCACCCGCGATCCACCCGCGACCCACCAACGACCCGGCCCGTGACCCACCCGCGACCCACCCGCGACCCTCCCCGCGACCCACTCACATTACGCCCCCGGCGGGCTCGTTGTAGAATTTGTGAAAAGTCGACGCCTGCGGCGGGCTTCTGCAGAGCCTCGCAGACTACAGACGTCCTCGCCGCCCCATCACTCTTCTCCGCGACTGCGGGGTGCTACGTACCTATTCTTAGGTCGGGCCTGTCCCCCTACAGGAGGATTATGGACGAACAATAAAAAATATCCCGGCAAAGCATCCTAACAGCGATGTGTAGGAGCATATCTGGAAGCATTTCCCTTAAGATTCAGATGAGAATCCAGTTGTAGAATTCTGCTGTTCTCGCAGTCGTAGTCGCATTCGCGATGACAGTCGCAGTGGCAACGGCAGTCGCAGTCACAGCCTCAGCCTCAGCCTGCCTCAGCCTCAGCCCTCCTCAGCCTGCCTCAGCCTCAGCCTCAGCCTGCCTCAGCCTCAGCCTCAGCCTCAGTCTGCCTTCAGCCTCGGCCTCAGCCTCAGCCTGCCTCAGCCTCAGCCTGCATCAGCCTCAGCCTCAGCCTCAGCCTGCCTCAGCATCAGCCTGCCTCAGCCTCAGCCTCAGCCTGCCTCAGCCTCAGCCTCAGCCTGCTTCAGCCTCAGCCTCAGTCAGCCTCCTCAGCCTCAGCCTGCCTCAGCCTCAGCCTCAGCCTCAGCCTGCCTCAGCCTCAGCCTGCCTCAGCCTGCCTCAGCCTCAGCCTCAGCCTGCTTCAGCCTCAGCCTCAGTCTGCCTTCAGCCTCGGCCTCAGCCTCAGCCTGCCTCAGCCTCCTGCCTCAGCCTCAGCCTCAGCCTCAGCCTCAGCCTCAGCCTGCCTCAGCCTGCAGCCTCAGCCTCAGCCTCAGCCTCAGCCTCAGCCTGCTTCAGCCTCAGCCTCAGTCTGCCTTCAGCCTCGGCCTCAGCCTCCTCAGCCTCAGCCTGCATCAGCCAGCCTCAGCCTCAGCCTGCCTCAGCCTCAGCCTGCCTCAGCCTCAGCCTCAGCCTGCCTCAGCCTCAGCCTCAGCCTGCAGCCTCAGCCTCAGCCTCAGCCTGCCTCGGCCTCAGCCTCAGCCTGCCTCAGCCTCAGCATCAGCCTCAGCCTCAGCCTCAGCCTCAGCCTCAGCCTCAGCCTGCCTCAGCCTGCAGCCTCAGCCTCAGCCTCAGCCTCAGCCTCAGCCTGCCTCAGCCTCAGCCTGCCTCAGCCTCAGCCTCAGCCTCAGCCTCAGCCTGCAGCCTCAGCCTCAGCCTGCCTCTGCCTCAGCCTGCATCAGCCTCAGCTCAATCAGCCTCGGCCTCAGCCTCAGCCTCTCAGCATCAGCAGCCTCAGCAGCCTGCCTCAGCCCTCAGCCTCAGCCTCAGCCTCAGCCTGCAGCCTCAGCCTGCTTCAGCCTCAGCCTGCCTTCAGCCTCAGCCTGCCTTCAGCCTCAGCCTCAGCCTGCCTCAGCCTCAGCCTCATCAGCCTCAGCCTCAGCCTCAGCCTGCCTCAGCATCATCCAGCCTCAGCCTCAGCCTGCCTCAGCCTCAGCCTCAGCATCAGCCTCAGCCTCAGCCTCAGCCTGCTTCAGCCTCAGCCTTAGTCTGGCCTTCAGCCTCGGCCTCAGCCTCAGCCTGCCTCAGCCTCAGCCTGCATCAGCCTCAGCCTCAGCCTCAGCCTGCCTCAGCATCATCCTGCCTCAGCCTCAGCCTCCGCCTCAGCATCAGCCTCAGCCTCAGCCTGCTTCAGCCTCAGCCTCAGTCTGCCTTCAGCCTCGGCCTCAGCCTCAGCCTGCCTCAGCCTCAGCCTGCCTCAGCCTCAGCATCAACCTGCCTCAGCATTCAACATGTGGCCTGGGAATGGAGTTCTGGGAACTCGAAGAACACGAAATGGCCTACAGTTGGCTCCGGGCATTCAAAATCATGCCCAGGAATGGAGTTCTGGGAACTCGAAGACCACGAAGTGGCCTACAATTGGCTCCGGGCATTCAACATCATGCCCAGGAATGGAGTTCTGGGAACTCGAAGACCACGAAGTGGCCTACAGTTGGCTCCGGGCATTCAACATCATGCCCAGGAGTGGAGTTCTGGGAACTCGAAGACCACGAAGTGGCCTACAGTTGGCTCCGGGCATTCAAAATCATGCCCAGGAGTGGAGTTCTGGGAACTCGAAGACCACGAAGTGCGTTAATGCTGGCTTAAAAAGGAGTCCCCGGATTCCCCCGGATCCCGTCCGGATCCCGCCCAGACCCCCCTGGGGAGTCAGGATGTTCTCTTCTGACACTACTAGAAACCTATCAGTCTTCGCTGTTAGGTAATTATCCCAGTGCGACCCTACCTGGGAGTTGGAGCATCTAGGAAAGCAACATCTACATCTACACCGACAGCTACATTAACCATTACACCTGCATCTACATCTACATCAACATCAACAGCGGGGCTCACATCTACATCTACATCCACACCTACATATACACCTACATCTACATCTACATCTACATCTACATCTACATCTACATCTACATTTACATCTACATCTACATCTACACCTGCTACATCCACATCTACACCTACACCTACATCTACATCTACATCTACACTTTCGCATTGGTTTTGCTTTTGTTGTGCATGCTATGCTATGCTATGCTATGCTATGCTATGCTATACCATGCTTGGCTATGCTATGCTATGCTATGCTATGCTGTGCTAATGCTGCGCTGCACTATGCTGCGCTGCGCTAAGCTAAGCTAAGGTAAGCTAAGCTATGCATCGCTATGCTATGCTATGCTATGCTATGCTGCGCTATGCTATGCTACGCTATGCTATGCTGCGCTATGCTAGGCTATGCTATGATATGCTATGCTGCGCTATGCTATGTTAGGCTATGCCATGATATGCTGCGCTATGCTATGCTATGCTATGATATGCTATGCTGTGCCATGCTATGCTGTGCTGTGCTATGCTAAGCAATGTGATGCTATGCTATGTTATGCT